TAGTGATTGTGCTAGGAGCTGGCTTCTTCTGGCAGTCACAGTCTCAGGAACTTGAAGCAAAATGAAGTTTGGATTCACAACATATGTCAGCCATTGTATTATGTCAACTGCCTGGCTTTTAGAAATTACTAGCACATGGCCATTCTTGTTTTTCTAGGCCAATGAGTACAAATTCTTGCAGCCTTTCATATTCACATGAACCTTTCCATGATTGGATTCCATTTGCTTCCTTACAATTTTATTTGTAATCTGAATTTTTTCCAAAATAAATTTGTTCTCGGTCTTTGGTCAGATAGAATTTTTAGGGTACAAACACACTGACAAAATTCTAAAGTAATGTACACTTTCCTTGAGAGGCCAGATATGAGGAAAGTCAGCACAGCAAGTCTACTTGCTCAGGACTCACATTTTCAAAGGAATTTCGAGTTATAATTTACCTTGGCCATTTCATGCGAATGTGGTCCTCCTAATGTTCTTTATGTCATGATTGATTGATGATTTTGTTGTACACAGCTGGAGTGGTGAACCATGCAGTACCAACTTGTCAGTTTGCTTTGGACTAATATCAAGATCAATCATATTCACCCGTTTTCATTGTTGGTCTCTAAATTCCAATTGCCGTGTTTGATAACAAATTATGATATGACATGACCAGACACTATAAAAGACTCAAACTTGGGGAAGGGGGAAATGAGCTGTTACCAAGGGTTCAAGTAGAAAGAGGAAGTTTTGGAAATGCTAATGGTGTGATAGTTAGCCTAAGTAAAGCCATTTTGTTTAAAGCAAATATTCTGCACCAGACTCTGGGTGCAACCACTGGTCTTATAACATTCTCAGAAAAACCAAATAGCCCCTTGTTCTTAGAACTGGCAAGAGACCACCCTGTACCAGGAAATTGTGCTTAACTGCCTAACTGCAAGATCTGCTTCTATACCAGCTTGCTTGCACAGCTGCACAGCTCAACTGTTGAATGAGACCCTATAAAAACCTAAGTCTGTGAGCAAATGGGGCCAGCCAAACAGCTTCATTTCTTGTAGGTGGCTGGTCCCTGCACAGGTGTTGTTAATAAACTTTTCTTAATTCTTCCAATCTCGTGCCTCAGTTGTTCTTGCCTGGCCTATGTACAACAATGGCACCATATGTACAATGTGCTTGACACAATGGATGGGTAGATGGATTATGTTAAGAGCTGTAGAGCCTCCAATAGGATGATTTTTTTTAAAGCCTCAAACTTTAAGTTGTTGCTGTTTTTTTAATTTTAATTTTTTAAAAACGGGTGCATTTAAATTTAAATGCACATCACTTATCCTTACTTCGTCCCTGTCTTTCCCATGCCTGCTCCTCCTTCTTTCCTAGCCTTTCTGAATTTGCCCTTGGGCAAATGCTGCCCTTTTGATCATTAATGCTTAATTATTCTAGGGTGTCCCCCTAGTATTAATCTCTGACATATACACTTGCCTGTCGCTCGGCTGAACATTGAGCCACAGTGTGAGTTTAGTTCCAGACCTGCAGAGTGACAAAGGATCACAGTCTCTTCCACCAGTCTCAATCTGGCCAGTAAGGGTGGGCCTTTGTTGTTACTTTTTTCTTTTTGATTTTGAGTTTTATTCACCACCACCCCCCACCACCACCCCACCACCCCCACCCCCCGCCCCGCCCCCTCCTACCTCTATCCAGGACCTTTAATGTCATCCTTTTCTGAGCAGTTGGCAGGAGCAGCCTGGAACCATCTAGTTCTGGCGTCCGAGGCATCGAGGCTGATGTTTGCAGGGCCCTTAGTCCACTGGAGAGCCGTTTCCATGTGCCTTCGCTCCTCTTCACTCTTCTGTCCTCTGGACAGGGAGAGACCAAACATTGCACCTTAGATGGCAGCTCATGATGTTAAGACCCCAGTCACTACCCATCAAAGGCCGTCTGTTGATGCCCATTGATCATAGTGTCCCACGAGACTAGGCCTGAGCTCCCAGGCCCAGTAACTCATTCTCTCCAGGTGTTTGGTTCTGTCTAAGGAGTTTTCATAACTTTACTCCCTGTATGCTATGCCACATTTATGGATCTACTTGCAGCATATACGGATATCTTTTGTCTGCCTCCCGAATGTAGATGTTTTGACAGAGCAATCTCTCGCTCTCTTTCTCTCTCTCTCCTCTGTACGCAACTCACTTCCTTTCCTGCCTCTTGGAAATAAAGCCTGCAGAAATATTCAGCCTGCCACCTGACCTATGGATGTTGGATAAGGTGACCAGATGTCCCGCTTTTGGCGG